TCTGTTCTTGGGACTGAAGGGAGTTTCCTAAGCAGCCCATTCAGGACACTGGGAAAGACTAGACCAGTGGCTTGTGGCGGGAAAGTCAGAGCCGACGGTGAAGTGGTCACACGGCTGGGGGGTTGGAATGCGCAACCTGTGGCAGTTGCCTCAAGTCTGTTGTCCCCACCCTGCTTGTCCTTAGGGGAGGGTTTTTAGCCTCCCTGACCAGGGTGCTCAGGAGGCCCATGGCTGCGACTCCCTCCCTCTTTCTACCCAGCACAAGGGGCTGCTGTGAGTGGGAAGACCCAGCCGGGGCCAGGCTCTGCTGCTTCCGCTGTCCCAGACCGTCTGCTCAGCTGGTGTTTGCTGCAGAAACCCAGGCACCTGGGAGCAGCGATCATTTTCTCCTTTAGACTCAAGAGGGCAACTCTAATTCCCTTCTCCAGTGCAAGAAGTTTCTTTTCTCTGAGCGTTTCCCACCTGGCTTTGCAAAAATATCCGAGAAACTTCTCCTGGACCGGCCTTTTGTGGCTCACTCTTCACCTGGACAGCGCTTCCCGCTCATATCCTCTAATAGAGAAGGAAGGAAGCCCAGAAATAGGTAAATGACTTCATATAATTCGATGGCCTTCTCCAGCCACACTTGGGCATTTTATTATTTATTTTATTTTATTTTTTTATTTTTTTTTTATTTATTTCTAGGAGAGAGAGAGAGAGAGAGAGACAGCGTGAGCAGGGGAGGGTCAGAGAGAGAGAGAGATACAGACTCTGAAACAGGCTCCAGGCTCTGAGCTGGCAGTCAGCACAGAGCCCGACATGGGGCTCGAACCCACAAATCACGAGATCATGACCTAAGCGAAAGTCGGACGCTTAACCGACTAAGCCACCCAGGCGCCCCCACACTTGGGCATTTTAAAAACAGCCTTTACCACATGTCACGCAGCAACCCCACGGAAGGGTGGGTGGATAAAAGCTGTCTAACCAGGGGCAGTGTGGTCCTGTGTATCTGTAACCAGACCGTCTTAGCTCTTTTAGAGACTCCATTAGGAATTACTTGGAGTTATTTTCAACCGATCCACGAAGCTCCTTTGCCCTACAGAAGACCAGTCCTAAGAAGACCCCAGGGTGGACCCAAGGGTAAGTCCTGCCTTACAGTCACACATCTGGGCCACCAAGTTTTTCCTAACAGGAACAAAAGAGCACATCTAGTATTTATACTTTTATTAGGGGGCGCCTGGGTGGCTCAGTCGGTTAAGTGTCTGACTTCAGGTCACGATTTCATGGCTTAGGAGTTCAGGCCCCACGTTAGGCTCTACACTGACAGCTCAGAGCCTGGAGCCTGCTTCGGATTCTGTGTCTCCCTCTCTCTCTGCCCCTCCCCCAAACATGCTCTCAAAAAGATATTTTAAAAATGTATACTTTTAAGAAGTTATCAGCAGAGCACCTCATGATCTTTCCCTTATTAACAGATTACCTATTTCTGATGTGTGCCAAGCCCTACGCTCTGGAGGCTGTGCTGCCTGGGTAGGAATCTCAGGCCTGTTCTCATCCAGCTGTGTGACCTGGTAACTTTCTCCACCTCTCAGGAATAAGGATCACGGACCTATCAGATTCTCAACCAAAGACTCACGTCCGGTTCTCAAAGTTTTCATGGACACTGATAGTAGGAGGCTTGACCGGGAGCCTTAGCCATGTGGAGAGCCCCCATGGCACATCAGCGATCTGTAAAAAGTGCACCTCAACGAAGAGTTAGAGATGCCGTGCGACACAGAATAAGAAAAAAGCCAGCAACTTCAGGGAAAAAACAAAGACTAAAAGCCAGGATCCAAATATAATGCAAGCCAACATGGAACTTGGCTTTTAGCAACTGATGGGGAGTATGACCAAAAAAAACACCCCCTCCATTTGACCTTGACTCTAAGAACATTCTCTTAAAGAATGCAAAAGTCAAGACCCTGGACCCAAGGAAGAGGAAATCAGCCTTGAACCGCCCCCTTGCCAGGCCCGACACTCAGCTCTCCCTTTGCCATCAGTAACAAGTACTGTTCATCACTTCCCCCTTTCAAGAGACCTACAGATACTGCACTGAACGAAGCCCCCTCTCCTGTGATTGTGTAAAAGTGAAGGGACAGCAGCCACGCTAGAGAGGACCTTATCGTCGATGCTGAGGTGTCAGGAGACACTAGCCAAAGTTGGAGACAAAAAGAATCAAAAAACATCATCACTAAAAACACCCTAGGAAGGTAGAAGAGGCGTCATCTGCAGTCTTACTTTCCACAGCAGGGAGGGGACGGATGGCTGGAGGCTGGCGTGTCAGGAAGAGGAGGAACTACAGGCAGCCTGTGCCGGAAGCCGCTGTCTCCAGGAGTAAAGGTGGACACCTGTCCTCAGTGAACCCCACACACACGTCAGCTTCATTAACACCACATTGGTTATGCTGCACGAGTGGAAAGATGAGATCCCATTTTCACCCATCAAGATAGCAACAAAGGGAAAACGCCCAGTAGGAGTAGGGTGTGCTCAGAAATTGGCAGAGACCTTTCCACAGGATAACTGGCCCGTCATTCCCGCTATTAGGAAACAGAGATAGAAAGACTGATGTATAAGGTACGTTCAGTTCAAGAATCTTATCATTTCCAACAGTGGTTATAATTATTTGGGTAATGTTTATTTACCAAGTAAAAGATTTATGTTTTTCAAAAAGCATATAAAATTATAATGATCTCAACTTTGCTGGGGGGGGGGGTGGTGAGAAGAAAACCAGGATATTTAATGGTAGGAATATGAATGGTTTTTAAGTATTTTCCAAGTTTCCAACAAAGTAAATACATTTATAATTAGAAAAGTTATTTTTAAAAATCAGGTTGTTAAAAGGGGAGATGTGCAGAAAGAACCCATGGGCCCAGCAGGAGGCTCTCACGAGGAACTCTGCAGTTTATAGACACATTTAGACATGGGGGAAAATTGCCCTTGTTAGGGTGAGCACCTTACCTAGGGCAGGACCCTTCTGGAAAGGTTTCTCTCTCCCCAGAGCTGCTGGAGTACTGGTAAGTAACTAACACTTCCTCCCAGCCAAGCCCCCTGCTTGTCCCCAGCCCCACCCTGAACAGGTAAGTAGCAGCCTCTATTTATCAGTACTTACTCTATATATGTTCTCTGCTTTAAGTACGTCATTTTGTCTTTCCACCATCCTGAAGGTGATTTTTTTTCCCCCCAGAAGAAATCAAAGTGGAGAGACTGAGTAATTTGCTCAAGGTGACACAAGTACATGGCAGAGTAATTCAAGAGATTGGACCTACTTCAAAGTATCAACCAACTCTTTAAACCCACCAAGAATTGGCCTCACCACCGAGAAAGTCACTAAGACCTGTCACAAACTCACTACATATTATTTCAAAAATCTTTTTTTTTTTAATTTTTTTTTTTTTTTTTTTTTATTTCTAGGAGAGAGACAGCGTGAGCAGGGGAGGGTCAGAGAGAGAGGGAGTCACAGACTGAAACAGGCTCCAGGCTCTGAGCCGGCAGTCAGCACAGAGCCCGACGAGGGGCACGAACCCACGAACCGCGAGATCATGACCTAAGTGAAAGTCGGACGCTTAACCGACTAAGCCACCCAGGCGCCCCTATTATTTCAAAAATCTTTAAAGGTTAAACAAACTAAGATGATGGAATAAGAAATCTCAATTTAAAGCATTTTTAAGAAACTACCAGTCTTCCTGCTCAGAAACGATTTTAAAAGGAAAAAGTCCACAGCCTCATCAGTTAGTCCTCCAAGTTTAAGATGCTGCAACAAGCACGGTCTGTAGCAGACGTGCTGTGCGCTTACCTGTTCTACAACAGCCTCCGCAACAACAGAGCCCAAAAGGCGCTCTCAGAGCTTACAAAAGCAGCAAACATAACCATCATCACCGATTGTTTTCTATTCCAGGTTTTAGAGTTTAAAAGTGGATCCCAATACTACCTTCAGTACCCTTCTGCCAATGACCATTTAAATAGTAATAGCATTTACTGCTTCCATCACTATGTCAAGACAAAAGTGATTAGATTGGGACAACAACACTCCAGTTAAACTGGATAATTTCTCAAGCAACACTATAACAACGTGTGAAGAAAAAGCATTCAAGTTTGGTACCTGAATTTTAAAAGAAATCAGTGACCTGTGCAGAGTGAGATTCTAGTTCAATCTGCACTAAATGGACAATTCCAGCATAAGTAAACTGTGCCTCTCAAATGAGATAGTCTGCTCACTCCCTAAAAATGAATGGTCACAGACCCTGCCTAGGCAGCCTTGTTTGCTAGCACAGACCCACTCCTGTGACTCACGTAGACATCAGCTTCTACAGTACTGCTGTTTGAGAAGTTCCAAGTAACCTCCAATCTGCGGAGAAGGCAGACACTGAATACACCGTCTAAAGTACCTACCAGCCTCGTGACACCAGGCAGGGCGCTTCGCTTCTCTCCCATCCACAGAGGGGAACCATCTGCCCGGAGTTCATGCCGCCGCCTGGGAACGGGTCCAGGGAAGTTCTAATAGATAAGCCCCAAACCTGTATTAATGTTCCCTTTTCCCTGGTAAGGAAAGACTAATCTGATTTTGAATTAAGTTCTTCATTATTAAATTATCAGCACCAAAAACCTGTCCTTAAGATGTTTTTGGATACATATTTCAGGGGGCTTTTTTTTTTTTATTGCTGATTACAGATTTGAAACCATGAAATGTGCATTTCTTGGCAAGTTACACCAGTGATTCTTCACTCACATTTCCAATAAAAGCTTAAGGAAATAGACAAAAATACAAAAGATGAAAGAAACACAAATGGCAATGCCTCAAAACAAAAGGATTTAGTAACAGAAAAAAGTCTCCACCGCTCAGTGTCCGTCACAATGTTAACATTCTCGAAACAGTGCAAACGCTCAACTCATGATCATGTACTGAACTACTGATACTTGTCCCTTGAAGCTGCAACCTGGAAAAGTCACCCACTTATATTTATGATCATACAAACCACCTAATTTGCTCAGGGTTCAGCATAAAGCAAGATTTAATATTCATTACAAGATGGAATTTGTGACAAGTTCAAAAGGAAAACTTGCTTTAATGTAGCTCTGCTCGGATGTCTATGTGATTTCCTCAGAAACACTCCTGGGCTGAGCCAGTTTGGAAAATGCAGTTCAAAGCAGTGTCACACTGGCCGCCTGAAGATATCCCTGGAGATACTGGAGCGCTTCTGCATTGAGGCTGGTGCTCACCATCGATGGAACCTATAAGACACATACTGATTGTTGGAGATCTTAACGAACCAACACAAGCCCCATCTTCTACCCCCTCTATGGAAGAAGTGCCACAGGTTAGGAAGGGCAGTCTGTCACCAGGGACTCTTACAGGGATTCCTAAAGATACCAAGTGCTTCATGCCTTTAAAACTGGACAGGTCTCCGGGCACCTGGGTGGTTCTGTCAGTTAAGTGTCTGACTTTGGCTCAGGTCATGATTTCATGTTGCGTGGGTTTAAGGCTGGTGTCGGGCTCTGTGCTGACAGCTCGGAGCCTGAAGCCCTCTTCAAATTCTGTGTCTCTCTCTCTGCCCTTCCCCTACTCGTGCACACGCACTCTCTCAAAAAATAAACATTAAAAAAAAAACGAGACAGGTCTCAGAAGCAGTTCCATAAGGAACTGCTGCTCTTCAGTGTGGTAGAGGTACTGGGGGGGGGGAAGACTAAAAAATATGTATGCATTGCTGACCAATAAGGACTTTTTTTTTAAAGACATATGGATTAAATAACCTGCTGCCTGAGAAACAAATGATACATGGTTGGCAGAACGCTGGTCATTTTTGAAGGTCAGCACACGATGGTTCTGTGTGCTTGAGGTTTTTCATAATAAAACAATAAAAATTATCAGGTAATCTAGAAGGCTCTGTTAAAGATGATAGCTAATATAACTCCACAGCCATTACTAGGTTTTACTCCATGATCCATTCTTTAATTTCTGAGTATGTTGTGGTTAAAAAAAATAAAAAATGCCTACATTTCAATAAAGGATTATTTCAATCTGGGAAATAAACACCTTTCTAATCAAAGGGTTTTAGGTGGCCTGGATAGCTCAGTCACAAGAACATGTGGCCCTTGACCTCAGGGTCTTGAGTTCAAACTCATGTCAGGTGTAGAGATTACTTAAATAATACTTTAAGAAAAAGGGGGGGCAGTGGTTATTACCCTGCTTTGTCTTTACTCTGAAAATCATCTGCTTAAAATCTATTTCTAGCACATCATTTTAACTACAGAAAATGAAGGCCTAACTATAATTCACTGGGATGTATGACATGCTGACCAATGAAGACATGCACCAGAATAACTATGAAAGTCTCCACTACTCAGAGTTCTGTGACAACAGTCACTTACCCTTCCTGGACAGGCAGTAGACAACTTGTGAAGTGACTGTGCCAGGTGAATTTTGGGGTTATTTACCATCTGACCTACAGGATCATGCTCTTTTTTCCCGGCAAATGCCAGCTGTGAGAAGGCAGTCTGATATCCTGGTGTATCTTCTATGTCAATAAAATGTTCTTCATCAGGAATGGTATCATCTTCAGGTAACTCAAAAAGGCCAATGAGGGACTGTAATAGAGGAGTCCTGGATTTGAAGAAAGCAACAGGTGAAAAATTAGATCTTCAGAAATATTCACTTCAACAATAAGCAATTCTTCAGAGATGCAAAATTAGAGACCCCCAGTCTAAAGAGTAGTAAGGGACCTCTAAAATAGAAGGGAAAAAAGCCCCAAATCATCAGATCCCTTTCTGGAAGAAGTGGCCTAAGTGAACTCAAAATGAGGAAAGGAGATGCAAGAGGTTGAGAAAAGCCAGTAATAATAGACACCAAGCACATGCATGTAATAAATTCTCTTAGCCTATTCGATTTCTCCTTTAAAAAAAATTTTTTTAAGTTTATTTTTGAGAGGGAGAGAGACAGAGTGCAAGCAAGGGAGGGGCAGAAAAAGAGGGAGGCACAAAGCCTGATGTAGGGCTTGAACCCAGAAGCTGCAAGATCATGACCAGAGTGGAAGTTGGAGGCTTAACTGACGGAGCCACCCAGGTGCTCCAAATATTCCTTTTAACAATTTAGGCCAGTTCAGTTGGGTGTCTGTCACGAACAGTCCTAGGGATAATGCAGACAAGGGACTTTCACCAGATTCTCATGAGCCCCCTCCAATAAAGTTTAGGAAGCAAGAACAAGAAGTTTCTAGGCCTAAGGATGCCTGGGTAGATGAGTCAACTGAGAATCTGGGCTCTTGGTCTCTCACCTCAGGTCATGATCTCACGGTTTGTGTGACTGAGCCCCGCGTCAAGCTCTGCACTGGCAGCACGGAGCTAGGCAGGTTCTGTCTGCAACCTTCCCCCACTTGCTTGCCCTCTCTCACTCTGTCAAACATTTTTTAAAAATTTTAAAGTTCTTTCTAGGCCCAGAAGGACCCAAATGTCCTGTCTTGGATCTGATGGTTGCTAGTGGAGAACCTGAGACCAAACCCAAGTCTCAGCTGTCAAGAGAATAAGCCTGTGTGATTTTGTAGTCACAAGTGAAGGAAGCTGTAATTTCTAACAACTTTACTTACCATAGCTTGGTGTACTCTGTGTCCATCATCGGAGGACATTCCGTTAGTAATTTGGTTATGCCAACTGCACAAATCTTTTTCTCAACATTTCCAGATACTTTCTGAATTTCAGGAATAATGATTTTTTCCAAAACCATCCCAAACATTCTATTAAAAGAAAACTTTACGTTAGACTAACACTATAATTACACTATGAAATTCTTAGATGTTATTTACGCTGACTCCTTAGGAATATAAAAAATCAAAATAACAAGCTGGTCAACTGAATCGGCTGAGTCCTCGAGATGCCAAAACAACAACAAAACCTCAGACCTCAACTCCAGCCAAGCGCTGCCAACAACTTCTGTAAAATACTCTTAATGACTGTGCTCAAAGAGAATCTTCATGGCCACTTTTTTTTTTTGTTTTGTAGGTTTTTCTAAAAAATTACTCAATGAAATTTTGAAAAATTAGATATTAGAAAACAGATAAGCAGGGCTCCTGGGTGGCTCAGTCCAGTAAGCATTCAGCTTCGGCTCAGGTCCTGATGTCACAGCTCATGGTTTCAAGCCCTGCATCAGGCTCTGTGCTGCCAGCTGGGAGCCTGTAGCCTACTTTGGATTCTGTGTCTCTCTGTCCCTCCCCAACTTGGGCTCGGGCTCTCTCTCAAAATAAATAAACATTAAAAATTTAAACAAACAAAAAGATCAGCAAGGGAAAGAAGAAAATGAATTACCCATAACCCCACTATCCAGCAGTAACTAGTTTCAACATTTCTGAATTAGAAACTTCCAACTCTATGTTTACAGACCTGTACCCATGTAAATGTTAGGCTATATTAAAAAATTAAAAGATTTGGCCAACAATTCTAATATGTTGTTGTAAACATCCAGAAATAAAGTTTTTCATGATAATAAATTAAGGGAAAATCCTCAGTGTATACTTTACTACAGATACCTGAAGTAGAAATAGTGGGTTATCGAAGATACTGGAAATTTCAGCTCTAGATAAAATAAAAGTGTGCATATTTCTTACTCTATATATAGCAAGAGCATGCCCGTTTAGGTACCCACAAACAGTTCATGAAATGGATTTCCTCATCAGCCTCTCCTACTGGGAAGCATATTCTCTGGTGTGACATTTCAGGTTAATTATTTTTTACATTTCAGGCAATCTGGACTTTGGGGGATACAATAGCAATACAGGGATCTAACTTGAATTTTGCCTCCAAATTGTTCTATTTCTTTCTATCCTTCCTTTTCTTATTAAATGGGAAATGCCACCAAACTACACTCTGTATCTACACTGAGGGTGAAGCAGGCTCCTGGAGACAACCCTAAGCATCGGTAACAGAGAAGACTGGCTGGCAGAGGTGGGGGAGAAAAATGTTTTGCAGGGATTTTCTTCTTTGCAATTTAACAGTCCTAAGAATATTTTGAAAACCAAGAACTATGAAACCATGTATAAAATAGAAATACTGGTTTGTGCTAAAAGAGGTCCATTTTTTTGCTTTAAAAAATAAATCATAGGAGCACCTACCTGGGTGGCTCGGTCTGTTAAGTGTCTGACTCTTGGTTTTGACTCAGGTCATGATCCACGGTTTGTGGGACTGAGCTCCTTATGGACAGCACAGAGTCTGCTTGGGATTCTCTCTGCCCCTCTCCTGCTCATGCACACGCTCTCTCCCCCAAAATAAACAAGTTTTTTTCTTATTTGTAATAAATAATAAAAACAAACTTACTTTGGTTGTATATCATCAAATATTTCTTGCAGCGCCAACGCCCCATACTTTATGCAATACAAATTAATAAAGACTAAGAAGCCTGTTGAAAGGAGATGCAGAATATCAGTACAGAGGCCCCACTGCGCGGAACAAGCAATTCAGCACTGAAATCCGCCAAGTGAAATATTCACAATCATTAAAACCAATGGCCAACTGTGGCATCAATATGTGCCTTTCTTATACAGTTTAGACATCTAGTATAGACAAAAAGTGGTCTGATATCTAACCTTAGAAACCTCTGGAACACAATATATTTGAAAGTGACTTCATGTTTGGAGAATACAAACATCTTAAAATATTTTATATGCAAAGCTTATAACTTGATAAAACATTTATATGTACCCAGAAAATCTAAGAGTTTTAGCTATCTTCCTTAATTATTTCTGTAGGAATAGCCAAATGATTTTACTTACTCTTGATAAACTTTGTTGTTTTGGAATTTTGAAGTCTCTGGAATAGCAGAATGAAGATCTGCTTCCTATACTGATCAACAGAATCACTGAAGAATTGAATAAAAGCAACAATGTATCAATTCAACATCATCTTAGTACCTAACAGTGCTTGAATAATCCTGGTGAGGCTTTATACTCATACTCACGGAGGCATGTGCTCTATTATACTGTTTAGAAGATAAAAACCTTGGTGGTCATTGGCTTTGGATGCAATTAGCTTCTGGAACACACCTAATAACCCAGGCTACAACAAATTAGATCAAATAATCAGTTAATGAGATAAGGAATATTTTTTGAGAAGTTACACATTAAACATGTGATGTCTTGGAAAAGGGTAATGCTATAATAATGTTTTTGCTTCCATTTTTACTTCTGAAATGCAGAGATAGTATCCCATCGCAATAAGCCTTTAAGGTTAAGATCTTGAAATTAACCTACTTGACTCTCTTTATTTTCCACCATAGAGATAATTAAAGGATACCTAACTATAATAAAATCTACAGTAGTATTTTCTACTACTACTTCCCTCATTATTATATTTTAAATCAAGAATTTAAAAAAAAATCTACCATCCTCAGTTTCAGCTACCTCAGAAACTTGCATCAAAATAAATTGCACTCACAATTTTGTCAGCGGCAGCACTTGCTATGGTGTTTGAACCACGTTCCAAGAATGCTTGGAGAAGCCTCACTAGAGCAGGAATGTTTCCTGTTCTTTCCCAAAGCACCGGCTGAAGGAGATGAGGAAATAAGGCCATATAGGAAGATGGGATGTCATTTTTATGTGTTTCCAGAAGCAAAGACATCACTTGAAAGACATATGGAATAAATTCTGTTGATGAAAGTAAACACAGAGTTGTCAGATTCAAAAGGTAATGGCTCTCATACAAAAGGTGCACACCTCTTAGGCAGAGGCTGCGTTTTATTAACCCCTTTAATAGCTTTATTCAGGGACGCCTGGGTGGTTCAGTTACACGTCTGATTTTGGCTCAGGTCATAATCTCACAGCTCATGAGTTCAAGCCCCACATCAGGTTCTGTGCTGACTGCTCAGAGCCTGGAGCCTGCTTTGAATTCTGTGTCTCCCTCTCTGTATTCCCGTCCCCCACTTGCATGTCTCTCTCTCTCAAAAACATTAAATTTCTTTAAAAAGTTGTATTCAGTAATAAAGAAAATAACATCCTTTAGCTTACCTTGTACATCATTTTGTAAAATTTCAGTAAACACAAGAAATAAAGCCTCCTCAAAATTTACAACAGCAGCAGGGTTAGCTTTGCAAGTTATTCTTATGGATAAACATATTGCTTCAAACATGTAGTGATTGAAGTGAGGTTTGCTCGGGTTCTGAAATTAAAAAAAGAAAGCTTATTCCTAAGTGACTATACTAAATATATAAAGTAAAACACACCTACTCTTTCTAAAACATATTAAAAGGCCATTTTTTTTTAATGTTTTTTTTTTTAAATTTATTTCTAGGAGAGAGAGAGAGTGACAGTGTGAGCAGGGGAGGGTCAGAGAGAGAGGGAGTCACAGACCGAAACAGGCTCCAGGCTCTGAGCTGGCAGTCAGCACAGAGCCCGACGCGGGGCCCAAACCCATGAACTGCGAGATCATGACCTAAGCGAAAGTCGATGCTTATCCGACTAAGCCACCCAGGCGCCCCTAAAAGGCCATTTTTTAAGAAAACCAGTATTAAAGCCATCAATTACACTTGCCTACATATATGTTGAAGTTTTATATGGACTTTAAAATTCAGAAAATAATACTAATGCCATTTTCTTCAGAATTAAAAAAAATTGTTTTAATGTGTTTTATTTATTTTTGAGAGACAGGGCACGAGCAGAGAGAGACAGAGAGAGAGGGAGATACAGAATCCAAAGAAGGCTCCAGGCTCTGAGCTGCCAACACAGAGCCTGATGCAGGGCTCGAACTTACAAACTATGAGATTCCATGAGCTGACCGAAGCTGTGTGCTCAGCCAACTGAGCCACTCAGGTGCCCCACTTAGGACTTTTTTAAACGGGCAAAAGTGCACCACAAAAAGTACCTCAGGGAGCCTGAGTGGCTCAGTCAGTTGAGCATCTGACTTTGGCTCAGGTCATAATCTCACAGTTCATAGGTCATGCTCTGTGCTGAATGCTTGCTCAGAGCCTGCAGCCTGTTTTAGATTCTGTGTCTCCTTCTCTCTCTGCCCCTCCCCCGCTCACATTGTCTGTCTCTCAAAAATAAATAAATGTAAAAAAAAAAATTAAAAAACAAAAAATACCTCAAAGTCAGAGACACAAGCTTCAGCTCCCAGAGCTGTAAGGAACTTGTCCAAAACCCATGTGCTCTAGAGCCGTCACTGTAAACAGTGGTGGAAGAAACGAGCAGGGACATGTTAAGTCCTGGCTATGCCACTAGTCTTCTGTGGGACACCTTAGGCAAACCTTAAATTCTATGGGCCTCAATGTCTGTATCTACAGGGACAATACTTTTTTTGTGTATCTGATATTTTATTTACTTTCAATGTTTACTTTTGAGAGAGTGACCGAGCACGTGTGCACACACGGGGGAGAAGCAGAGAGGGAGACCGAGGATCCAAAGCAGGCTCTGCGCTCATAGCCAAGAGCCCAATGCGGGGCTTGAACTCACACACCTGGAGATCATGATGTGAGCTGAAGTCAGACACTTAACTGACTGAGCAACTAAGCACCCCTGTGTGACAATCCTACCAGTGGTTTTCAATCTTTTTACAGCAACATAACCCTATTTTCCTTCAAACAAAATCCTTCTTAAAAGGCTACCACAGAAAATAGATGAACTCAGGAGATGGTTGGCGGAGGCAGGGGAGGCCCAATGTCTCTTCTATCTTAATCTCCCAAGGCCCAGGGCAGTCCAACATCCTTACCCAAAACTCAGTGAGAAAATAATCACTGTTCTCCAGAATCCTTGTTAACACTTCTATGAATTTATCTCCTTTCCATAGAGTAATTAGGAACAGGCATCTCAAAAGAGTTTTGGCAACCTTAAAATGACCTTTATTTTCTAAAACTTAGTGTCAATAAATATGAATCAAATTATCTATAAAATTTCCTATCAAAGGAATGAAATTTACTTGGGGGAAATAAGAGTAAAAGAAGACTAGGGGCGCCTGGATGGCTTAGTCAGTTAAGTGCTGGACTTCGGCTCAAGTCATGATCTCGCAGTTCATAAGTTCAAGTCCCACGTGGGGCTCTGTGCTGACAGCTCAGAGCCTGAAGCCTGCTTTGAATTCTGTCTCTCTGTGTCCCTCCCCCACTCATGCTCTCTCTCTCAAAAATACACAAACATTAGGGGCGCGTGGGTGGCTCAGTCAGTTAAGCGTCCGACTTCGGCTCAGGTCACGGTCTCACGGTTTGTGGATTCGAGCCCCGCATCGGGCTCTGTGCTGACAGCTAGCTCAGAGCCTGGAGGCTGTTTCGGATTCTGTGTCTCCCTCTCCCCCCCCCTCTCTCTCTCTCTCTGACCGTCCCCTGTTCATGCTGCCTCTCTCTCTCAGAAATAATTAAAAAAAACAAAAACAAAAGCAATTAAAAATAAACAAACATTAATAAAAAGAGTAAAGAAGACCAGACACAAAGGACCACACCATTTTACAGAAGTCTAGTCTTTGTGTCCACTTGGTACAAAGCCTGCTTTCCTCCATCTAAGATCATTTCAATCAATCATCTGTACTTTTTCAATTTTACTCAATGAAACATGTTACTTTTAAAGTGAGAATAACTTAAATGAAATATTTTCAAGTTTCCAGGCCTGCACTTAAAGGCAAGTACCACTAGGTCTCCAATCTAGTGACTCCCCACACTTCTCAAAAGTGTATTAACTGATGGTCAGGAAGAATTCAGGGAACTTTTCCTGAGCCCAGTCTACTGCCAGGGAATTCTGAGGATCAAACAGTTTGGAGCATAAGTTAAAAAGCAACTGCACTTTTAAAACTGTTCTTGTTACCTTACTAACAGCTAATAGCTTCTGTGTAAGCTGAGTGATGAGGGTAGGGATGTAGGGGATTATGGCTTCTTGTAGGAGGGAAAAACTTCTCATGATAGCTGTAAAATATAAAAACAGCAAAAATAAATAGTTTACCTTCAGAACAAAATAGTGATTAAGGAAAAAAGCCCACTGATTCATCACCAAAATTTTAAGACCCTTAGGCAAACCCCAGACAGCTCTCTCTATTTAAGAATAACCTAAATTTCCTTTCACTTTAAAATTAGGCCAGGGACTGACAACAAAGTCTGGCTAGCTAGGAAATATTACTTTCAGAAGGCCTAAGGCTTAAAAGAATTAAAAAAGGGACAAGAAAAAGTAGTGACTGAAGAGGCAGACACAGACCAGGAAGAAGGGCAGAATGATGGGGGGTTGGGAGGGAATGACAGTAGCTAGAAAAGAGTGCAGTTTCCAGTCTCTTTTGCTTAGAAATCAGTGGCAGGAAATGTTTAGCCCTAGCCTAACGGACACATCACAGCCCACCAAAAACTGAGAGAAGGCCATCTGCCCATCTCCCCTCAAAAAGAGTGATTAGGAGCCTAAGGAAATTCTAAAAATATATGTAAAGCTATGGAGATTGCGTACCGCAGGAATACAGCTCAATAGAGATGCCTAAAAACATTTAGCACTGGAGATAAAAATATTACTAAGCTTAAAATATAAATGTTTCTGCGTAAGTAAAAAAGAGGTTTACTAAGTACAGCCACTACTACAAGCCAAGTGACAGAGCATAGAAAATCATCATCTCTTGCCTCCAAAACTTTGCAGATGTTTCTCCTACCTGAAGCAGACTCACCTCCAACTAGCAAATCACTGCTTATCCCTTACCCCCTAGAGAAAGCTTCCCTGAGCTTGGTTAGGGGCTTAGAGGATGGATCAGTGGCCCTCCTCTGGGCTGGCAGAATCCATTCACTCACTCATACAACAGCACTTATTGAGAAGGTATTATATACGGGTGTTCTTGGATAGCTCAGAAACACAGTAATGAGACCACACGCCAGTTAAGCTCACAGAAATGGACATTAAACAACAGTAATCACACATCACTACTGGCGGGGGGTGGGGGGGAAGAGTACAATGCTGAAAAACACACATAGATACACACCTAGATACACTTATCCACATACATACACACATGTACACACACATACACAACACAACGCCAGGGGGCCTGACTGGCCATGAGGGAGTTTGTGTGAAAAACATCTCCTATGAGTCAGACACAGCCAGGCTCCTGGAATGTGACAGTGAGTAAGACTGAAACTGCCCCTAAAGTCAGAGTGTCAGCACAATACCCTCCTAACACAGCACCGGGCAGATGGTTTACAGCTGCCTGTGTTCCTGGTAGCAGCTCTACGAAGGCAGGATCTGTGCGGAGTCTCTCAAGGGCACCCAGGTTGCACAGCAAAGACGCAGCCTAGTGTGCCACTAAGAAATGTCTGATCTGAACTCTATCCTCAAGAAATTCAATCTAGGTATAGAAAAAGGGAGTTTGCTACTTTTTCTTTAACAAGAGGGGTATCCATATCAAACTAGGGTAGATTTTTTTCTGAAAACACTGCTTTAATATAATAATATACCAAATCTTTTCCAAGTAAAAATATCTAAACCTACCTACTTCATGGCCAACAGTATCTGGTTCATGGACTATGTAACCTGAAGTACAACTCAGAGTATTCACCCCTGTAATTGGAGATGGGATTCTTATAGTCTGTACCAGGGGAACGGCCTACCTTTCATAATATATTCATTTTCTGAAGAGCCAGGAAGTGTGAGAGCTTTGAAAAGGTTTGTTAGCAGAATCTCAACAAACGGTGCGATTTCTGCGGCTGTAAAGCTATAGATGAAAAAACAGCTTTCAGTCACTGCCAACTCTTGAGCTTGTCACTCTGGAATACCCTTGGCAACCACTAAATCACACTTCTTGGCATAAAAGCGAGCCATTTCCCACCACTGACAATCAACTGACAGCTTAGGAAAGTAACTGTTTACATGTGTTCATGTTAAGTTCCTAAAAAAAGGCACATCTGGGATCAAACACAAACCAAAAGCCAGGCAAACCCGACATCATCTAAAGCAATTCAGGTCATCCCTGGTTCCTATCTAGCACTAGCGAGAACAATACTCAGACCCTCAGGTCTCAGGTATCTGTTTTTCCTGGAGGCAGAGCAGATTCCTAACTTCTGCATGAATTCCGGGCCTGAAGACAGGTACTGCTTTGACTCACCTCAAAGGATGTCCTTTCAACCCTTAATTAGTCACTGAGAATATATGTACTTCAAATTCTTGATGAAGAAAAAAGAACCTAGAACTGTTTTCCATCTCTTAACCAAAGCTCAGTTTCAAGAAATAACACTGGTGGAAAATGGCCTGAAAGATCTGCAGATTGTCCATTCCTCTACATTTTATCCTTGGATCAGGCCAGAAGAGCTACTATCCTAGACCCTAGAGAATTACTTTCACTCAGCTGTGTATATCTCCGCAATGAGTAATAATACAAAAACAGCCATGTAGAAACAACTCTGTTACATGATGGTGCTAAGACCACTCCCTTAATGAAGGCCCATTTCTGAGATGCCTTCTGAGGAACTGTTCTAACTTTAATCTCAAGGACACTGAAAATTTTAACTGACCAAGTTCCTCTCTTTGCCTTGGTCGCCAGAAGACAGCACATAAATTTCAGGAAATTTCCTTAACTCCTGTTCAGGATCCTCTGACACCTATTTATTTTCAGTAATCTCACCCCATTACTTCCCTTTGCTCCGATTTCCTGTTTAACTTTTGGTCATTATGTATCTTTTTAGCATACTAATTCATCCGTTTAGACTGAGACACACTATAAATAAATGAGGAAAAAGTACACATTTATTTTTCAAACTACCACTGAAATTATGAATATAGTCAAAGAGATATCTGACAGCACAGAACAGTCCCCACCCCAAGCTAAAAAAAATAAAAACTGCTTAGAAGCAAATACTTACAGAGTGGCGTTGTTAGGTCCTCTCATAGTAAACAGCCTCTCAAGAGCATGTGCTGCATAAGTATGGACAACGATGCTTTCGGCCTGAAGGTGACCGATTAAGAGAGGAATAGAGACCAAAAGATGCTCTTTCGGTACCTGGAAAACACAGTAACATGCACGCTTTAACTCAATGATACTACCTTAGAGTAAAAGACAATTGGAATAGAAGGGCTTGCAGATTCTAGAAAATGTTTTTTCAGCTGTTACAACTGGGAGAAGATATGGTTGAGAAATTAAAACGAACACCACAAAATAATAATATGGATAAGCACACTAAAACATTATTATTAAGAATTATACTTTTTACTTAGGTAATTCTTGGAAAAGTTATTCAAGCCCTTTGTGCCTCATTTTCTCTTCTAGAAAAAAGAAGTGAGGCAAAGACAAGAATACTAATCTTGAGTAGAAACCTGTAAAAATTGAGAATACCCATACTCTTTAAAATAGAACAGCTTCACAAGGTTGCATGTAACCCTTGTAAATGTCTGCCAAAGACATAAAAATTATAAATCAAGAGATTAAAGAATTATCCACAGGAAATAAACTGTGGCATATTCTCTTTTTTGTTTTAATATTTTTAATATTTATTTTTGAGAAGAGAGACAGACAGAATGTAAGCAGGAGAGGAACAGAGAGAGGGAGACACAGAATCCCAAACAGGCTCCAGGCTCCGAGCGGTCAGCACAGAGCCCGATGTGGGGATCAAAGTCACGCACTGCAAGTTCATGACCTGAGCCAAAGTCGGATGCTTAACAGACTGAGCCACCTAGCCACCCCTGTGACATATTCTTACGATGGGCTACTACATAACTATTAAAAAAATGAACTACATCTACTAAAATGAGTAACTCTCAGAAAGTGTTAAGCACAAAAAACACAGGATGTACAGACCAAACCTATAGCATGATAACATTTATATAAATAAAATTTTAAGCCTATAAAGTACTACAGAATTTTTGTGGAAACAAGTATGTAGTAAAACCATAAACACACATGAGAATGCAGCTGGCCAAAAGTACAATGTGAGAAACTCTACAAGACAAATGATCAGTTTCTCCAAGAAATAACAGGAATAAGAAAGGGGAAGGAGGACCTCTCTGTTGTAAAGTAAGTGACAAGAGACAATCAGCTATCAGCAATGTGTGTACCTTGCTTGGATCCCAATTTTTATTAAAATCACTATAATATTTTTGAGACAAAGGAAAAAACTAAGCATAGTCTGGAATCCCAAGTTCTTAACAAGTCACTGTTAATTCTGTTAGATGTGGATGTCAAGTATGACTGCACAGTAGGGAGAGAAGCTGGTATACAATAAAACTCGTAAGAGATTAAGTGGTACAGAACATATAAATCAAAAGCTACTTACTTGATTCCTAAAAATCATTATGTATTTGATACCATCGGCTTTAAGGACAGGAAATTCATTCACTATTAAAAAAATAAAGCCATAGTTATTTGATTGCTAAAGACCATTACTCTTTGAAAGAGTTTGTTAACCAAAATGTCAAGTAATTAGAACTTAGTTAATTACATAAAGATCTACTATGCAGCTATTAGTAAGATTATAAGTAATTTTTTTCTCCTTTAAGTTTCATTACAAATGAACATGTACTACTTACATAACTGAAGGATCACAAACTAAGGACCATGTATCAACTTTTGCCTAGAAATGAAGTTATTCTGAATCAGAAGCATGTGTCTCTGGATAGGATTTGCTTTACTATTTATGCTACCAAAGTGAACACTGGTCAAGATTTGCTTTAAACTACTCAATTATGGGAAAATAAATTAGTGAAAAAGAATACTGGCCAATTATTAAAAATTCTTGGTGCATTAAAATATTCTCCCTTTTAGTATATTTGAAATTTCCATACAAAAGTTTTTTTTTAATATTTATTTTTGGGGGCAGGGGGAGAGAGAGAGAGAATATGAATTCCAAGAAGGCTCCATGCTGTCAACAGAGCTCAATGCCGGCCATGGTTCCACTAACAGTGAGATCAAGACTTGAGCTGAAATCAAGAGTCGGACACTTAATCAAATGAGCCACCCAGGTACCCCCAAAGTTCTTTTTTTTGAAGGGAATACCTTATGTATCTTGATTAAGATACATAAGGTATCTTAATCAATATGCTTTCATAAACAGAGAAAATTATCCTTAATATTTATCAATTTCATGTACTTAAATTTACTTTGTTAAGATTTCAGTTTTTAAATAAGGAAAATAAAAGTATAATTCCTACAGGAATTTGTAGCTGAGCTACAAATTGAGTTTTAGCTGCTCCTATTTTCCTTCTAAACAAGCAACATCTTCTTTAGACAGTTCATTTCAACTGGGCAAGATCTGGGAAAACCATTTGAGATTTTATTCAGTAAAAGAAAATAACTGCAACAAGGATAGGAGCCATTTTTTTGAGTATCATGGTGATACAGAATAACTATTGCGACTTTTGCGATAATGTGAGTTATTTTATAGTATAAAATAACAAGGCAGAGGTGCCTGGCTTGGCTCAGTTGGTAGAGCATGTGAATCCTGATCTCAGGAGATCGTGAGTTCAAACCCCACGTTGAGTGCAGATTACTTAAAAAACAAATAAACAATAGCACAAGTAAAAAGTGTTGTAAGCTGCATAAAAAAGTTTTAACAGGGGAGCCTGGGTGGCTTAGTCAGTTAAGCTTCCCAAATCTTGATTTTAGCTCAGGTCAGGCCTCCTTGGGTTTCATGGGATTGAGCCCTACATTGGGCTCTGCAATAATAGTGTAGAGCCGGCTTGGGATTCTCTCCCTCTCTCTCGAAATATATTTACAAAAACATTTTTTTCTCCCTACAGACTCACCGTTATTTGATTTTAGATCAGGGAGAATGTGATTCACAAAGAACTCAGTCAGGTTTACAAGTTCATTTGCTTGTGTAATTCCATGCTGGAAAACAAAATTTTAATACAGTAAAATAACATGAAATACTTGTATATATCTATCACATAAGAAATTTAGGAAACCTTTAAAAAACAGGTTGCAAATGAAGATGAATACTTCAAATCACAACTCCTTACATATAAAAAAATAAGACTTTTTAATAGACAGTAAAGAAAACTTCCTTAAATTAAAGAATAGCTACACTTAAATTTAGCACATTTCATGCACTGATTCTCAGTGAAGGGAACTCATCAGTTTTTTGTCCATAAGAAAATTAAGTGTTTAATACATCAATGTCAAGTCACCTTTGGAGACTATACGAATTCTATTCAGAACAAACAGGTTATCTTGCAGAGTAGGCTGCATCATTAGATATCTGTTGCTTCTTTCTGATTTCTGTGGTTACCACCAAGTCTATTTTAGAAGCAAAACTACCCTGAAAATTCACCTTCTGTGTCTGGGCTTTTGATGCCAACGATGTCACAAGGTAAATGGCTGCATCTTTGTGTTTCCAGTTGACAGATGGATTTTTTGCATATTCCTGCAGCATGGAATTAACATAACCAGAGAAGATTCCTGTCACCGGTCCCTCAAAAAACTTGCACAATCCTCGTACTAGATCACAAGCAGCCCTGCGTCTAGTATCAATATCTATAAAATCAAAGGGAAATATATCGTAGGATAAAGAAACCACCAAATGATCAAGATTATAAGGCAATAAATAGCCATTTGATAGCTATCCACAACATAAACAATGAAAAAGAACATTATTTTATTCACAAGAAACACAAAAATGGGAATGAAACTAAAAAGACTATAATAGTAGTTACACACTAATTAGCATATAAAAAAGAGTGGACATTCAATGCTGGACACATGGATAGAACTCAAGACAAGAGCTGCTCTTAAAGGTAAACAGATTAAAGGAAGAAAGGCAGGTGAGACGACACACTTGCCTTGACTCCCACTCCTCCCTACAGTGACCAGAAAGAACAACTTTAAAAGTGCCTTGCTATCAAACTAACAATTAAAAACCAAAATACATACCAGATCCTTCCAAATCTCTCCTGATGTACTCCTCAGAATTGTCTTCAAAGGCTTCTTCATCAGCAGCTACAAAGAGAGATGGCATTTCAAATAACCCCTCAAAAGACAGGACAAGTCATTTGTATTTTCACAGCTGAATACACAGAAGAATGCAATGGATAACCCTCACCCTGGGAAAACCTTCATGATCATGGTATCTCCCCTGCCAGGTAAGTATGAATGCACAGAAGAGTATGTAGCATTGCCATGTTTTACAGCAATGTGTTCCTTCCCAACAAATGACACTTCATATATTCTTTTTTAGAAAACGCTTATTTATTTAGAGGGAGAGTGAGAATGAGAGAGAGCATGGGCATATGAGCTGGGGAGGGACAGAGAGTATCCCAAGCAGGATCCACGCTGTTAGTACAGAGCCTCACACGGGACTTGATCTGATGACCATGAGATCATAACCTGAACTGAAATCAAGAGTTGGAAGCTAAACTGAATGAGCCACCCAGGTTTATATATACTTATATATAAGTATTTTTATACTCAAAAATATACTTATTTTTAATTTTATACATTTATTCTTAAACGTTACTTAGAGCACAAATGCCACCCTGAAAGGGTAAGTACAGGTAATGCACACAGCTCACCTGTTCTAAATGTGACTGGACCTTAACCACCAACATCAAAAAGTGACTGTTAGGGCCCAACCTAGGGACGCCAACTTTTTATTCTGCTAAATAAGGACATTAAAAAAAACAAACAGCCTGACAAATATAACCACCATTATTTCATAAAAGTCATTTTCACACCAAAAAAAGTAGGATGGACAATACCAGAATAAAGATCTGTCCTTTATAGTTTTATGAAAAAAACACAAAAGGAAATAAAACCTTACATGATATTGTCCTTCATTCCTCTTTTAGCTCCTGGTAATTTGAGAACCACTAATCTAATGAATGAATACTCTGACATAAAACACAATCCCTTTCATATTTACTACCTGCCCTTCCCAGCCGTAAGGAGAGGCAATTTGTATACAAACAGTCTTAAGACTCTCTTAACCATGAGGCGCCTGGGTGGCTCAGTCAGTTAAGCATCTGACTTCAACTCAGGTCATGATCTCACAGCTCATGGGTTCGAGACCCAAGTCGGCCCCTGCGCTCACAGCCAGCGCAGAGCCAGGAGCCTGTTTTGGATTCTGTTTCTCCCTCTCTCTCTGACCCTCCCCTGCTCACGCTGTCTCTGTCTCTCTCTCTCTCTCTCAGAAATAAATAAAACATTGAAAAAAAAAAAAAAACCACTCTTAATGACAAACTATGCAGACTTCAGCTCTGTATTTACAGGTTATCAATCACTTCCACTCTCAATTACACTGTTTGAAAACTGCTATCTGTTGTGGTGAAACACTAAATCAAACAATACCAAATTCTTTCCTAAGGTGAGATCCTAGATGATTTACTTTCTTATCAATGCAATAGGAATTTTTTTAGTCTTATTCAATATTTCTGTGAAAAACCCTCCACAGTATAAAACAAACATCATTACAGCGACATTAACAAATGTCTTTTATTTTTAAAATTTTTAAATTTATTTTTTAATGTTTTATTCATTTTTTGAGAGAGAGACACACACAGAGTGTGAATTGGAGAGGAACAGAGAGAGAGGGAGACACAGAATCCCAAAGAGGCTCCAGGCTCCGAGCTGTCAGCACAGAGCCCCACACAGGGCTCAATCCCATGAACTGCAAGATCATGACCTGAGCCTAAGTTGGATGCTTAAACAATTGAGCCACCCAGGTGGCCCCTCACAAATGTCTTTTAATCCATACTTTGTCTTAGTTTAGAAAATAGGCACTAAGTCCAGGAACCTCAGTGGCTCAGTTGGTTGAGCATCTGACTCTTGATTTCAGCTCATGTCATGATCTCACGAGATCAAGCCTGGCACTGGGCTCCTTGCAGACAGTGTGAAGCCTGCTTGGGAATCTCTCTCTCAAAATAATAAACATTTTTTCAGAAATAGGCAATTAAGTGACCTACAGAAGTTTTAATTAGCAATAAAAAAAATTAGACTGGGCTCCTAGGTAGCTCAATTGGTTCAGCGTCCAACTTTTGTTTTCAGCTCAGGATTCTCTCTCCTTCTCTCTGCCTTTCCCCTGCTAGTGTGGCGTGTGAGCTCTCTCTCAAAATAAATAAATAAGCTAAAAAAAAAAAAAAAATCCAGGGTGCCTGGGTGGCTCAGCTGGCTAAGCATCTGACTTTGACCTAGGTCATGATTTTGAGTTCGAGCCCCAACATTGGGCTCTCTGGTGTCAGTGCTAAGCCAGCTTCAGATCTTCTGCCCCCCTCTCTGCCCCTCCTCCATCTGCATGTGTGCAAGCTCTCTTTCTCAAAAATAAACATTAAAAAAAATTAGACTCAATATATTATATAAAAAGCAACAGGGAACAGACTTACTAAATTTATACTAAAACACTCTTTAAAAAAACAAGCTTTTATGGGGCGCCTGGGTGGCTTAGTCGGTTAAGCGTCCGACTTTCGCTTAGGTCATGATCTCACGGTTCGTGGGTTCGAGCCCCGCATCGGGCTCTGTGCTGACTGCCAGCTCAGAGCCTGGAGCCTGTTTCAGTCTGTGACTCCCTCTCTCTCTGACCCTCCCCTGCTCACACTGTCTCTCTCTCCTAGAAATAAATAAAACATTAAAAAAAAAAAAAAAAAGCTTTTAATCTGCTGAAAACGCTTCAGACTTTGCCATAATTACCTCTAAATTCCATGTTAGGCACGATAACCTTTTCACAGATACTCGTCAGCGTGTTCTGGTCCTCAAACAGATTCTTATAGTGAGGTCTCTCACAAACTGAAGCCAGAAACTGAATTGCATTACTTACTAACTAGGGAAAAAAAGCACAAATATAGGCATATTTTAAGAGCAAAACAGAATTATTTATTTCTTGGGGGGATTAGGAGGGAATGCCTTAATTATTTGTCTCTCCACCATCATCTTACCAAGTCATATTTAACCTCTTGACCTGTTGTGACCAGTAAATTCCAGATGGCTGTGACAAAGCGAGGCAGGTACCGCTGAAATTCCTCATCATACTTCTGTGCATAGAGTGCAGCATTGTCACAAATCTGGGATTTTAAAAGCTCCAACAAGCCAGCTTCCTCTTCATCCTCACATAAGAGAAAAAAGAAAACTCAAACATACATGTTTAATGTTACCATAAATTTAGAGAATAGCTTTAATTCATGAAATAAAATCCTTAAAAATTTAACCCAAAGTCTAGTGTTACAAAAGGCATTGATGCCACTATCAATTTATTCATTTAGTTTTTCAAATACCAAACAAATGAAATACTTCTCATTTTTTAATCCGTGAGAGTAATTTCGAGTTTTCAAGTTAAACAGACTTTTCTTCTGGTTGTTGAATTATAAAATATTTACATGTTAAATTGAAAATAACATTCCTACAGAAATCTAAATGATAAAGACCATATCACACTTTCCTTTGTGACATGGTCAGTTGTACTGTCTTGCTATCTCCTCCCAAAAGGCTGTCACTTCAAATATATTAAGGTAATGCTGTAAGATTCTCACCAACAATATTCCGGTTATAAAGTATTAAACAGCAATCTAATTTTGGGGTCAAACTATGGTCTGCAGGCCTGCTGCCTATTTTTGTAAGTAAAGTTTTACTGAAATACAGCCTTGCTCGTTCCTTCTTTACATTTATATAATTTACAATATTGCCTACCGGCTGCTTTCATTACAACTGCAGAGCTGAGTAGTCGGAACCGAGACTGTACAACCCACAAAGTCAAAAATATTTACTACCTGAACCTTTACAGGAACAGTTTGCCATCCCCAATCTAACCATGATGTCATTTATATAACACTGTCTCCTAGAACAACAATCCATAAGCCCCCTTTAAGCTGTACTAAGTGCCAAAGAACTCAAATTTAGAAAAGATGAAAAGAACTCCCTAACAGCTGTCTCCTCAAGGCGTAAATATAAGGAATATTACAGTGTGAGGACACAAGGTGATAGCTGGTGTAAACGGCAGAGAGCCCCCTGTAAGAATTTGATGTGAAAAACTTCCCTTAGATTTAAATGTGAAGACAAGGGTGTCGTTTTTATCTTACTGGACTGAAAGAATTATGTCATGGGAGCCGTAGTTTTTTTGTTGCTTTAATTGGTAAATCTCAGACAAAATTTGATGGACACCCATAGAGATGATTCTGTCTGCACCTCACTCTCCAAAACTGATTTGAATCACCTATTCTAATTTTATCTGAACTTGAAGCATTCTCAGTATTTTACTTTTTACGTTTTTTGTTTCTTGGGAAAGAGGCAGATCATAAATCTATTAATAAACACGCAAATGAGCAACACAAAGTAAGTGCCCTATGTCGGAAAGTACATATTATTACAAATCCCAGACCAGAAACTACAACACATTACAAACCTTCATAATGGTCCCACTTTCCCATGCTGTGGATGCTTTTTAAAAAGAGGCTATTGTTCTAAAACATGGAAAGAGCCTAAGTGTCCATCAACAGATGAATGGATCAAAAGAAGATGTGGTTTATCTATACCATGGAATACTACATGGCAATGAGAAACAATGAAATCTAGCCATGTGTAGCAACATGGATGGACCTTGAGGGTGTTATGCTGAGAGAAATAAGTCAGGCAGAGAAGGACAAATATCATATGTTTGCACGTATAGGAGGATTAGGAGGAACTTAACTGAGGACCATGGGGGAGAAGAAGGGGGGAAATGGTGGGGGAAAGGGAGAGAGGCAAACCATGAGAGACTCTTGAATGCTGACAAAAACTGAGGACTGATGGGTGAGGGGGGGAGGGGGGATGGGCATGGAGGAGGACACTTGTGGGGATGAGCACTGAGTGTTATGTGGAAACTAATTTGACAATAAACTATTTGTAAAAAAAATAAAATAAAATAAAATTTAAAAAAAGAGGCTATTGTTAAAAAGGTTTATGTTTTCTTAGTATCTTCAACCATGGTTTTTTATTTCATAAAATGGTCATGGTGTGAATGCTCTAAGGCTTTACTTTGAACAGTGTAATGATATAGTCTTCTCTATAAATTGTGGACCTACCTACACCAGGCCCAAAAGAAGAGTAATTCTGTATGCTGCAAATAACCAAACATAGAACATCCCCTATAATTAAATATTACTTGTATTCTTGGGTTCTACCTATTAATAGCGCAAGAGTAAAAAAAATTTTAGCAGCCAGAATTTAAATGTTCAGTAAAACATTTCATCTTATTTCAGTAAACAAGTAAAGCTCTTTAACTCTGGGTCTTGAGTTTGAGCCCCATGTTGGGCAAAGAATTTACTTAAAAAATAAATAAAACAAGCATTCTCAAATAATCATTTCATTTTTTGAAGTCTAACTATATTCCAAAGGTTTTCAGAGGGCACCTTTTTTTTTTTTTTTACATATTTAAAAACTGAGACATAATCAAAATCTAATATTTCAAACAATTCTTCATTTAAAAGGCAGCTACTTGGGAAACATTTTAAAACAATACTTACATCAGTTTGTAGAAGCTTGTTATCCAATGTCAAGAGGGTATGAAAATTGTTCATCCAAGTTTCCATATTATCTTCAAAAAACTCAGGGAGATCCTAGAATAAACACTAACTTGAGACTTTTGATTAAAATAAATGTTATTTTAGTTCAGTTCTGCTCCATGCCAAATATTTCCAACATGCCTACAGCCTCAAGTCCACACTTTTCAGCCTGAGCCGACCATTAACTATTTAGACAAGAGTTCTCTATTCCAGCTGGGTCTGGTAGCTGAATAAACTATTGTGTCTTCTGTTTATACACCTTCAACCACAAATGAGGCCACCTCTATTTCCTGTCCCAATCTATATGTCCTTTCTCTTTCAAGGTCTAAGACTGTATGAAACCTTTCCTTACAAAAACTCAGTGCTTACGAGTATCTTCCTTTTCCTTTCTGAACTATTGCATTTATTGTAAGATGACCACAATTCAGACTTACCATCTTAAACAGTTACTGATTTCCTGTGCCTAAGTATCCCCTTTAATGAGGGATAAGCTTTCCAAGGTAAAGATTATGCCTCCTCTTCTGGTTTCCCTAACTATGCTTAACAAGTTATTAAGAGCCTCATTCTACCTGATTTCTAGGAAGAAGAATTCAAAAGAAGGTGTAAGTGAAAACAGTGATATCCTTTAAGTAAAAATTTTTGAACTGGTGTGCAGCGGAACACAGATGTGGATATGCCATTCTGGGCTGTTCATCTCCTATTCTACCCATTCCTTTTGCAGAATGCTCTTCCTGCCACTGTGAGTGTAGTCATGTTAGGAGGATGAAGTCCAGGTACCAGGCCCTGGCGATGAACAATGAGAAAGCCAGATAGCTTCCTCCTGTATGTCAGCACAGTAATGCGCACTGTTAAGCCCCCTCTTCTCATTCCTGAGGTCCTGAATCTTAAAGTAACAATTCAAGAAGAGAAAGAATAGAGGCCACTATCTCAGGAGCAAGAGGATGACCAGACATTTTCTTTCTAGAAGTCTATGGCTGTGCTTCCTCTGAAATGCCACAATTTCTTACACCTTCCAAAACCTGGTTCTTCTGCCTTCTATCCCCCATAATTCCAATAAAAGCCTTTTTGTATAAGCTAGCCAGAGACCTGTAACCAAAACATGGTTCCCCTAGTGTTAATATCCATCTAAATGAATAAAAGAGAAAGGCCTGAAAATGTGATCTCTCAATGTCTTTAACAATACCATATACAGGGTGACTCTCCAAAACAGCAATTTAGGAAGTGGGGTTTCTCTAAGTTACTGGACTACAAAAGAATGCTACCTTTCCCCACACGATACCCACTAGAAATATCCTAGAAATATCTCCAGGAACAACTATAAAGTAGAATGCTATTTGTAGACAAAGAATGGGGGAAGACAGAAAAAAACTTCTTTTTTTTCCAGAAAAAAAAAAAAATCAATACTGGCCAAGAAGTCTTTATCATTGAGAACCTGCATATTTAACATCAAAGAATCAAAAGCAAGAAATACAACAAAACTGGGGTGCTTGGGTAGCTCAGTCCGTTAAGCATCCAATTCTTGTTTCAGCTCAGGTCATCATCATCATCAGGCTTAAAGCATGGAGCCTGCTTGGGATTCATTCCTTCTCTCTCTCAAAATAAATAAATAAACCTAAAAAAAATAACAAAGAAATACAACAAAACTTACCTGAAAGTTTAAACTGTAGAACAATTTTGAGATAAGGATCAGGGAAGAAAAAAGGATCCTTAGGGCAGAGGCATCATTTGCATGGGTACTGCAGAGTTCAATAGTGGCCTTGGAAAGGAATTTAGGAACAGAGTTTTAGTGTTAGTGTAAACTTTAGTCAAATAAGTTGAGACTACTTAGATCTCCAAAATTTAGCTTTTAAATAATATACAGTCATATAAGGGATTCTGTAATATACAGTCATATATTACAACAGTATATATTTTTACATTGTCCATAATAGCCCTACTAAAAAGTCCAATGTTAATATTTGGACTAGATCCTTCTACTCTCCTTTGTGCATATAAATATATTTCAAAATTGTATTTACTTATATGCTCTCCCATTAATTAATTCCTGTGCCACCTGGCATGTTTCCAATTACTTATTATTCTAACTACAATAAACAGGCTTATCTGAAACTATGCACACCTCTAATTTTTGCAGTATGAAATTCTAGAAGTATATTACCAAAGCAGATTACTATGCTATAAGCACAGGTTTTGCAAGCCAGATAGAAATGGATATAATCCAGACTCTGTTGATCATCATGAGCATTACTTTGAGCAAGTTATTTTACTGAGCCCCAATTTCATCCATAATCTGAAAATAATGCCTACCTCAGAGAATGAAAAAAATATACATAAAATATCCTAGTACTTCATGTACAATGTAAAAGACACTCAACGAATCTTACTCCCTATATCATGGAGTTAAGAAATTTGAATATTAAGGTTTTCTTAATGAAACATCAAAGTCCACACACTACCATTTATAATTCAATGGACAAGACACTAGACTTCATTTCACTGCACTCTGGCTAACACTTTTAACATTAGTAAAACCAAGTAAGAATCTGTGCTAACCCAATAAATGGAAAATATTGATTACATTTTATCCAATTTTATTTTCTTAGATAAAACTGTATAGTCAGTGGGGAGCCTGGGTGGCTCAGTCTGTTGAGTGTCCAACTTTGGCTCAGGTCACGATCTCAAGGTTCTGGAGTTGGAGCCCCTTGCTCTTGCTGCTGTCAGCGCAGAGCTCACTTCAGATCCTCTGTCCTCCCCACCCCCACACCTCCGCTCATGCTCTCTCTCAAAAATAAACAAACATTTAAAAAAATAAAAGGGCAATCAGTAAGACATCCTACCCATGAAAATTTCTGTACACACTTTAACATCTTAGAAAGCTGTGAATATCATACAACTTTCCTTTTTTGAAAATAGGAAATAAGCAGCTTTCCCAGAGTTAGCAAAACCAGGTTTAAGGTTTGGCCCCCTTTTTTATTAGCTGGGGGATACTGAGTCCTCTTTCCTTATCTGGAAAAAGATTAAAAATATACCTCCTTCAGGGCACCTGGCAAGCTCAGTCAGAAGAGCATGTGACTCTTAATCTTGGCGTCATGAGTCCAAGCCCATGCTGGGTGTAAAGATTACTTACAAAACTTTAAAAAAAAAAGGAGCACCTGGCTGTCAGTGGAGCATGTGACTCTTGATTCCACTGGGGTTTTAAGTTCAATCCCCACACTGTGTGGAGATTGCTTAAAAATAATTTTTGAAAATTAAATTTTTTTTTAATCTTTCAATCTTATAGGATTCTCACAAAGATAAAAAACATGTTTAGGAAAGCAGCCTATGCACTACAAGAAGATATACAAATATATAAATTAATTAGTTGAACTACATATATAATCAAATCAAAATGGGGACTGATTCCTTTAGAAACACACATTCAAATACTTGAGTGAAATATGATGTCTGGGATTTGCTTTTAAATATTGCTATAAATGAGAGGAAGGGGGGGAGTAATACTGTTAAACCTGTGTAATAGATACATGGGAGTTCATGAGATCATCTTCTCTATTTCTGTATAGGTTTGGAATTTTTCAAAGGAGATGCTGCTTTAATTATTAACTACCAAATAGACATTAAGCATTCTCTTAAATAAAATTTACACAAATAATTAAGCAATTTAAAATATTAAGTAATTTTACAGTATCACCGAGATGTTATTCCATTACCTTAAATAGATTAGTCAAAGGCAAAGCAAAGGCATCCAGAACAAGTTTAATTTCAGTCCATAACTCATTTGACTTAAATTCATGGCGATATCTAAAAAATTAAGGTAAAGTAGGTAAATTTACAAGCTTTAGGTTTACTGAGTTTAGGCCTTAAAGGATAGATTGCACTACTTAAGAAACAAACACAATAATGAATTGAGAAGCTTCTCTCTTATTCTAAGATTACCAAATTCAAAGGAATGACAATAGTCACAAAAATACAACTGTTTACACAAACAAAAGCATTTGAAAAAAAGTATTGTTAAAATATGAATTGGGGCTCCTCGGTGACTCAGTTGGTTAAGCTTAATCTTGGCTCAGGTCATGATCTCACAGTTGGTGAGCAAGCCCTCTGTGTTGACAGAGGGAAGCCTGCTTGGGATTCTGTCTTGTTCTCTCTGTGCCCCTCTCTCTCTCTGAATAAATAAAATAAATACCTATTTTTTTAAATACATGAATTTATTGGGGGACCTAACTGGCTCAGTTGGAAAAGCATGAGACTCTTGATCTCGGGGTTGTGAGTTTGAACCCCAAGTTGTGGGTAGGGAGTATTTAAAAATAAATTCTTTAAAAAAAAAAAATTTTTATCAATACCTTTTAAATAAAGAATGTGCTGTACGGAGGACTCCGTTAATAACATGGAAATCTCCACTCTGAAAACGATTCACCATTTCTGTCAACAAGTCAGGCCATTTCTGAGGGAAATCTTCTCTGCCAATAATGCTAATAGCATCACTTAACTAGAGCAGGGAGAGAAAACATTAATTAGATCAAAGCTCTGCAAACAAGCATCCTTAAATCGCAGGGCCTGACATTACCTGCTTCTGAATTTGTTCTGGGCTACTAAGCATCAAGTGCACTATGTTGGCTTTAATGGCTACTCGGTCAGCTTCGCAAATTTTGTTTGGTTCATCTTCAACCTTAAAAGCAAAAAAACATCAACAGTAAGTAACATGAAGTCCATATCCATGACTATATGGGTTTATAGACAAAACAGAACCATTTATTGCCTGGCCTTCTAAGAAAAACATAGAAGGAAGTCCCTCAACATGAATGGGTCACAGATTCCTTTAATAATCTGATGAAAGCATAAACCCTTTCTAAAGAAAAATGTATATTCCATCCCAAATGCAAATATTTTACATACAAATCAATGAGCTTCACTGGCTCCCTTCACTGGTGAGTTCTATACGTCACCGTTCTCAGAACGTATGCTTAAAGGCTTTATGCACGTGTACTGCAGAGCCCACATCCATCTCCAGAACCTTCGATCTGACCCTAGCCTTAAGTCAGAGTTCTTTCCAATGAAAACTTGATCATTACCAGTTTGAAAACATCCAGGACTGCATCACTCAAAGAGGTTCTGAAGTCTCACTACTTTTACAAATCAAGACAGAAGGCGGCTAGCATGTCTGAGAACAGAGGGATGGATTTTTAAACACCTGACAATTCACCAGTTATTTTTTCAACACCTACCTGTACAAGCTTAAGAACACTATTTACTACCTCATAAACTCTTTCATGAAATGAAGACAAAAAAAGAATTCTAAATAAATATTTAGGCATATTTAAAGTTGACTTTTTAGAAAAACTTACCATTTTTGTCAACCTTAATATTTTCTAAATATCATTACTGCTAACACTTCAAAGCAATTCTTTCTTTTTTTTTTCTTTATCCTAAGGGTTTCCTCAGTCTCAGCATTACTGGCATTCTGAGTCAGATAAGTCTCTGGTATGGGAATCTTTTATGTACACTGTAGGGCAGTTACCAGCATCCCTGGTTCCCACCTGCTAGGCCGTATTAACACACTTTGCCCCCGGCTGTGACAACCAAAATGTCTCCAAACATCTTTGTGGGCAAAATTACCCCCCATGGAGAACCACTGTCCTAAGGTAGGGAAAATACCTTAATTTCTTAATTTCTAATTTATACCACTCATTAAACTTGCAGTACAAAAGGATTCACCTTAAAATTAGAATTTATTTCCACATATCCCTTATCAAAAACTCCAAACCTAAATTATTTTACATTCTACAAATTTTTAATATACAGAACACGGTTTTTCAACTGTGTTTAATTTTTTCCAGTCCATAAGAGACCCTGCTTCAATTATTCAGTAAGACTGTGTCTACCCACAGAATCTCTCTTCAGTTGACAATGGGCTAACATTCAAATTCAATCATAATGGACGGGCGTCTGGGAGGCTCAGTCAGTTAACTGTCCAACTCTTAATCTTGGCTCAGGTCCTTATCTCACATTCTGTGGGATGGAGCCCCACACCAGGCCCTGCACTGGCGGCATGAAGCCTGCTTGGGATTCTCTCCCCCCGTTCTATGCACCTCCCCCCGCCCCAAAATAAATAAGCTTAAAAAAAATTTCAACCATAGTGGAGGCAAAAACCAAGCCTCACACTCTCTAGCAACCTGGGTTAGCAAGCTCAAGTCATCTATAGGAGCGCAAATGAAACAATAGGAACTTTGGAGAAGCATTCTGTCCAGTTTTTGTTAAGTCTGTCAGAATTTCCATATAGACAATCATATCATCTGTGAACAAAGACAGTTTTCTGTTTTCCTTCCCAATCACTAAACCTTTTACTTCCTCTCCTTATTTCATTAGCAAGGACTTCCAAAACAATGTTGAGAAGGAGTGATGAGGGGGGACATTCTTGCTTTGTACCTGATCTTAGTGAAAAGGTTTCAAGTTTCTCACCATTAAGCAGGGTATTAGCTCTAGGTTTTTTGGTAGCTAGTTTTTATAAAGTCAAGAAAGTTCTCTTCCATTCCTAGTTTACTGACAGTTTTACCATGGATGGGGGTAGGATCTTGTTAAATGCTTTTTCTTCATCTACTGATATGATGCATTAACTGATTTTTAAATGTTGAACCAGCCTTACATACCTAGAATAAATCCCACCTGGTTTTGGTGTGTAATTCTTTTTACACCTTTTTTGGATTTGATCTGCTAATATTTTGTTGAGGAGAGTTCTATTTAATTTTATTTTTAATCTGTACCTTAATCTTTCAGGAGCACTGCATATATAAATCTTATAAACATACAGGTTATAAGACTATGTGTTCACAAAATACTTACAATTCTCCAGTTCCTTTTAATATAGTTCTTGAATGTTACTGAGGCACACACTTTGATAACATTATCCTGGGACTTTTCCAACAAAGTTAAAAGCAACAGTGGGTAATTCTGATTTCCTTCCACAGATTCAAGAAACTTCTCAGCTGTAAAAGAATTTTCATGTTAGAAGATTTGTTATTTAATCAAATCTTTCCATTTTATATATAGGTGAGTTATGTAGATCCGATTAAAAGCATCAAAAAATTAGGGACGTCTGGGCGCCTAAGTTGGTTCCGTGTCTGACTTGATTTCAGCTCAGGTCACGATCCCAGGGTTATGGGACTGAGCCCGCATCAGGCTCCATGCTCAGTATGGGGACCTACTCGGGATTTTCTCTCTCTCCTGCCTCTTCCAATTTGCAAGGTCTCCCTCTCTCTAAATAAATAAACATAAAAAATTCAAAAAGCATCCAAAAACTTGAAAGATTAGGATATTTTTTTCCCTTAGGGGATCTATCATGGGTCTACGAGGCTTCACTATTCTTATGTGTTAAATGGACTACAAATGGTGTTACGCTAAATTTACATAATACTTGAGTTTTCAAATCAATTTACCATCCATTAAAATTCACTTGAGGGTACCTGGGTGGCTCAGTCAGTTAAGCATCCGACTTTGGCTCAGATCATGATCTCAAGGTTTGTGAATTCAAGCCTTGTGTTGGGCTCTGTACTGACAGCTCAGAGCGTGGAGCAGCCTTCATATTCTGTGCCTCCCTCTCTGCCTCTACCCTGCTTGTGCGCTCTCTCTCTCTCAAAAATAAACAAACATTAAAAAACACTTTTTTTTAACTAAAAAAACAAAACAAAACACCTCACTTGATTCTGGCAAACCTGTAGCACGGCCTGACTGACTTAGCACCTCTGCAGAAAGAGAAAATGCTTCTCAGAGAGATTAAGTGAGTCTCAGGCAAAATTCATATATACAGACCTTCTTCGACTTAAGGTGGGATTATGTCCCAATAAAACCATGGTTAAGTTCAAAATGTCAGAAGTCAAAACTGCATTCACTACACCTAACGTACTCAACATCATCATGGCTTAGCCCAGCCTCCCTCAAAGTGCTCAGAACACTTAGATTAGCCTACAGTTGGGCAAAATCATGTATTGCAAAGCCTCTTGCCTCTTTTATAATAAAGTGTTGACTCTCTCGTGGAATTTGCTAAATACTATACTGAGAGTGAAACCAGAAAAGTTACATGGGAACAGAATGGTTCTAACTGTGCTGGTTGTTTACCTTTGTGGTAACGTGACTGACTGGGAGCCGGGGCTCGCTGCCACTGCCCCGCATCATGACATAGTACTATACTGCCTATCACTGGTCCAGGGAGAGGTTCAAAATTCACAATTTGAAGTTTTCAATTTCAACGGTTTCTACTGAATATGTGTTGCTTTTGCACTGACCTTTCATCAAAAATTCACTGAGGGATGGATGGGCACCTGGGTGGCTAGTCAGCTGAGCAACCGACTTCAGCTCAAGTCATGATCTCACGGTTTGTGCGTTCAAGCCCCACATCGGGATCTGTGCTGACAGCTCTGAGCCTGTGGCCTACTTGAGATTCTGTGTCTCCCTCTCTCTGCCCCTCCCCTGCTAGCACTCTGTCTCTCAAAAATGGATAAAACCGTTAAAAAAATTTTTTTTAATAAAAAATAAAGGATGAGGAATGCTAGGGGCACCTGGGTGGCTCAGTCAGCTGAGCATCGACTCAGGTCATGATCTCACAGTCAGTCCTGAGGTCGAACCCTGCATTAGGTTCAGCGCTGGGCGTAGAGCCTGTTTAAGGTTCTCTCTCTTCCCTTCTACACCCCTCCTGCTCATGATCTCTCTCTCCCCCTCTCCCCAAAAAATTTAAAAATTAAAAAAAAAGGAAAAAAAAGAGGGTGCCTGGGTGGCTCAGTCAGTTGAGCATCCGACTTCAGCTCAGGTCATGATCTCATGGTTCATGGGTTCGAGCCCCATGTTGGGCTCTGTGCTGACAGCTAGCTCAGAGCCTGGAGCCTGCTTCAGATTCTGTGTATCCCTCTCTCTTTGACTCTCCCCTGCTCACGCTGTCCCTCTCTCTCTCAGAAATTTAAAAAAAAAATTTTTTTTTATAAGATGAGTAATGATAAACTGCAAAATGTTGGGCTGTCTGGGTGGCTCAGCTGGTTAAATGTCTGACTTCAGCTCAGGTCATGACCTCGCAGTTTGTGAGTTGGAGCCCTGTTTGGGCTCTGTGCTGACAGCTCAGAGCCTGGAGCCTGCTTTGGATTCTGTGTCTCCCTCTCTTTGCCCCTCCCCAGCTAGCACTCTTTCTCTCTCTCAAAAACAAAAACATTTTAAAAAAAATAAATGAAATAAACTGGAAAATGATTTTCAAGAAGGCCACTACAGTTTTGTAGGAGTCTGGAAGGCTTTGGTTGTTTCCTCTCAGTGGTGAGCACTGAACACAGGGCAACACACTGTATCCATGCTCTGGGGAAAAGCCCATAAAGACTGCTAGATCTCTTTCTTAAATTGTAATCAATAACCTGAAAGAAATCTCATGAGTTTAAGTCAAATTATTTCTGTGTTCACTTCCTTTAATTTGTTCACCAAATATTTACACTGACATGTTTCTAACACACTCAAGGAGCCTTAAACTGTGTTCCAGTTCATCCATACCAGCGTCATCTCAAGAACCAAAGGAGCACATGTTATCTATAAGCTGGGATTCACTACACATTTCAACCTCCAGGTCATTTTCTTCAGATGTTGAGTCGGTCTAGAACCAACCCGAGAAATGCTATGTTCATAACTCTTTCCAGAAACATCAATTTATTCCTACACTCTGTCCCTGGATTCATTAAACAGTAACAACCGCACCTTACAAACACAAAATTATTAAAAATAATTTTCAACAGACAGGGTTTGCAGAGGCTTTCTGGGAAAGTCTAAGAAGATTACGCCCATTAATTTTCCTTCCTCCAAGAACACATTACTTCTTTTAGCACTAATGGGAAAAACCACAATTTTCCCTCAGAAACCACAAAGGCTATCCTAAAACAGAATGGATGCATTAACTTGTTTGCCATTCTACTTATTGTACAGAACATGTATCTTCAACACACACACACACACACACACACTCATTTCTCTGTGGGGCCATTCTAAAAGCCTCTTTCTGAGCACGTCCATTAGTAAGTTCTGAAGCAGCAGGCTGAGCATACCTGGTTAATAAGGCTTCCATTGAGAATCATCTACTGACTAGCCTCCCACAAGAGACATTTGGCTCTCAGAAGTAGTTTGCTTGGTCTGCATAGTATTTCAAAATGTTTGAAGTCAGATGCTATCACTTAAAAGTGAGAACACTGCATACTTCTTTTATTTTTCAAGCAAAGCTGGAAATCTGATCTTGCAAAAACTGTTTGAACCCCCCAGAGTTATTAGCTCATTCCAAAAGCCCTTAACCAAGGTATGTAAGTCACATATGACCAGTCCTCACTTGGCCTGCTCCATCATTTACCTTCACATCTGACTCCTGTGGGCATCTGAGTTTACAACTCTAAGCTTAGGGTGCTAGGTGGCTTTAGTTGGTTAAGCACGTCGGATTCTTGATCTCGGCTCTCCTCTGATTTTGGCTCAGGTCATGATCTCCCACGGTTCGGGAGTTCAAGCCCCACATTGGTCCAGCACTCAGTGCTGAGCTTGCTTGGAATTCTCTCTCCCTCCCTGCCCCTCCCCCACTTGCACAGGTGTGCACTCTTTCTCAAATAAATAAACTTAAAAAAAAAATCTAAGCTTATACTAAATTTCTAACAGAAACTGGTAAAATACAGGAGAGAGGAACCTAGGTCTTAAAATGTATTAATTAAATCAAACCCAGCATGGGGATTACATGACAGTGTCTCATTACCTGGTTTAATTCATTTAATCACTTTTTAGGCAATTAACTCTCATCTCTATGCCCTAATTATTATCTCTCTAAAACGGGCAGGTGTGGGGATTTTCAGGAAAAGGTGAAGGGACAAAGCATTCTAGACACAGCAGTACTTTTTAATCCCAGAAGACAAAAGCTATTTTACTCAAAAAACAAAAGCAAACCAAAAACACCTATCACCATACGTTACAGCAGCGGTAAGCAGCCAATCACACACTTTATAGCTGGAGAATAAAAAAGACATGATGCCTGAAAATCAAAGTGTAAATTCTTTCTTTTTTTTTTTTTAATTTACAAATACAGGTAGATTATGCAAAGGTTTCCTCATCTGTCCTTAAAGAATAGATCAAACCACAAAACATTTATTCTCTTTACCTGGACGTCTGATGGCAGGATCCGGATCAAGAGTTTTCTTTAAATATTCTGTTAGCGTTTGCAAATTTGCATCGCTGAGCTCCATCGCCATAGAACCTAAAACAAAAATTGAGGTTTGGTAAATTGGTCACATTGGGAAACAGTAATTTACATAAAAGAATACTTTTATACTATGGGTCTTCCCCTCTCTGAAGGTCATCTATTTGTTATGTTTTAAGGTATGGGCTATAAGCCTGACTCAGCTGGGACAAGGTTCCAGAAGTTAACAGGCTTTTTGGAAACAATGGTGGGCTAATTTTGAGATGAAGAATAAACATACCAGTAAGTAAAAAAAGAAGGTGCAGAAAAACAACGGTGAAGAATTGATCAAAGTCACATAACATTTATTAGATTTAATGCTACAAAAAAGAGAAGATGAGAGTTTAAAAAAAGACTCAGTAGAAACTTTTTTAAAAAAGGCCCACCAAAGGGGAGCATGGGTGGTTCAGTTGGTTAAGCACCCGACTTTGGCTCATGTCATGATCTCACAGTTTGTGGGTTGGGGCCTTGTGTCAGGCTCTGTGCTATCAGCTGGAGCCTGGAGCCTGCTTTGGATTCTGTGTCTCCCTCTCTCTCTGCCCCTCCCCTGCTCACCATCTGTCTCTCTCCCTCTCAAAAATAAATAAATATTTTTAAAAACTTAAAAAAAAAAGCCCACCATTAAAATTGGTTATACAATTTTAAGCAGTAAATACGGACCCCATAAAGAGTTCTGAGATTAAAGAAACTAGAATAAATTCCTTTGTGTACAACATGCAATCACAAACACTGACAACAAACCAGATGCTAAGAATCCGTACCTGAGGAGGACACTGGGGTTCAGAGGATGACAGCTGTGATTATGATGAAAAAGGAACCTTCTACACTAAAAGCAAAGATAAGCAAGTAGGACTACATCAAACTAAAAAGCTTCTGCACAGCAAAGGAAACCATCAACAAAATGGAAAAGGAAGCCTACCAAATGGGAGCAATTATCTGCAAATCATGTATCTGATAAGAGGTTAATATCCAAAATATATTAAAAAGAAAATCCACACAACTCAAAAGCAAAAAAACAAAAATAAAAACAAAAAACCTGAATAAAAAATGGTCCAAAATCTGAATAGACATTTTTCCAAGACATAGAGATGGCCAACAGGTACATGAAAAAGTTCTCAACATCACTAGTCATCAGGAAAATGCAAACCAAAACTAAAATGAGACATCATCTCACACCTGTTGGAATAGCAATCGTCAAAAAGACAAGAGATAACAAGTGTTGGCGAGGATGTGGAGAAAAGGGAAACTGTGCACTGTTGGTGGGAATGCAAATTGTTGCAGCTACTGTGGAAAACAGTATGGAGGATCCTCAAAAAATTAAAAATAGAACTGTCACAGGATTGTGTGATCCAGAAGTTCTACTTCTGGGTATTTCTCAAAGGAAATGAAAACCCTAACTCAAAGATATCTGCACCTGTATGTTCACTGCAGCATTTTTTTTTTTTTTTTTTACAGCAGCCAAGATAAATGGCTGGATAAATGGATACAGAAAATGTGATTATGTGTCTACAATGGAATATTCAGACATAAAAAAGGGAAACCCTGCCACCTGTGACAAAATGGATGGATTTTTTTTTTTTTTTTAAATCAGGCTCCATGCCCAAAGTGAGCTTGAATTCATGACCCCAAGATCAAGAGTTGCATACTCTGAGCTAGCCATGTGCTCCTGGATGGACCCTGAGGTCATTATGCTAAGTGAAATAAGTCAGAGAAAGACAAAATATCATATAATCTTACTTTAATGTGGAATTTAAAATTTAAACAAACAAAAAAAAAACACACACCAGAGCTCATATATATAGAGAACCAAATGGTGGTTACCAGAGGTGGGGAGTTAGAGGTGTACAAAATGGGTGAAGGGGGTCAAAATGTACAAAATTCCAGTTACAAGTAAGCCATCAGGATATAATATATAGGGGCACCTGGGTGGCTCAGTCGGTTAAGCGTCCGTCTTCGGCTCAGGTCAGATCTCACTGTTTGTGGGTTCGAGTCCCGCCTCAGGCCTGTGCTGACAGCTCAGAGCCTGAAGCCTGTTTCAGATTCTGTGTCTCCCTCTCTACCCCTCCCCCACTCATGCTCTGTCTCTGTCTCAAAAATAAAAACTATTAAAAAAAAAAAAAAGGATATAATATATAGCATGGTGACTATAGTTAATAATATAGAGGGCACTTGGCTGGCTCAGCTGGGGGAGCATACAACTCTTATACTGGGCTTGTGCATTCAAGCCCCACAATGGGTGTAAAGATTACTAAAATAAATAAATAAACAAACAAACAAACAACACTGTATTGCGGGGCAGCTGGCTGGCTCAGTCCATAGAGCATGTGACTCTTGATCTTAGGGTCATGAGTTCTAAGCCCCACATTGGACACAGAGCCTACTTAAGAAAAACAAAGTTCTGACGACAAAAAAAAATCTGTAATTATGTTTAGTGTTGGATGTTCACTAGATGTGCTGCGGTCATTTCACAATGTATTCATATATTACTACTCATCGTATTACATACCCAAACCTAATGGTAATGTTATATGTCAATTATAGCTCAATAAAAAAAGGTAACAATGAAAAGGTGGGGGGGGGGCGGGGGGGGAGGGAATGCCTCAATGGTCCAATTGGTTAAGGTTAAGCATCTGACTCTTAATTTCGGCTCAGGTCACTATCTCACGGATCAGGAGTTTAAGAAGCCCCCTATCAGACTCCTCAATGACAATGTAGGGCCTGCTTGGGCTCTCCCTCTCTCTCAAAATAAGTAAACTTTAAAAAGTAACAATTTTATTAAAGAAGTATTCAAATCTTTTTTTTTTAAAATTTAAAATATATATTTAAAATTAAGAGAGAGAGAGAGAAAGAAAGAGAGAAAGAAAGAGAAAGAAAGAGAGAGGAAGACACAGAATCTGAAGCAGGTTCCAGGCTCTGAGCTGTCAGCACAGAGCCTGACGCTCGAATCCATGAACTATGAGATCATGACCTGAGCTGAAGTCGGTTGCTTAACCAACCGGCGCCCCATAAGTATTCAAATCTTAACACCGAACATAAATCACAGAATACACTGCCACTGACCAAAAAAATTCACATCTAATACATTACAAATTCTAAGCTAAATCTATGGCTTATATCCATGACTGACGACATAAAGAAATACAGACAGAAAAAACAGCACATACATACAGCTTACAAGAGTGAGTGTGTGCACACATCATTCCCCATAAACAAAAAGTTTAAGAATGCTGTAAAAGAGGGGGCGCCTGGGTGGCTTAGTCGGTTGAGCGTCCGACTTTCGCTTGGGTCATGATCTCGCGGTTCGTGGGTTCGAGCCCAGGGTCGGGCTCTGTGCTGACTGCCAGCTCAGAGCCTGGAGCCTGTTTCAGTCTGTGACTCCCTCTCTCTCTGACCCTCCTCTGCTCACGCTGTCTTTCTCTCTCCTAGATATAAATAAAAAACATAAAAAAAAAAATTAAAAAAAAAAAAGAATGCTGTAAAAGAGGACTCTGTGGTCTCCAGGTTTTTGGTGAATAGATAAAATTAAGTGCAAAACGACAGAACTTTCTGGGGTGATAAAACAATGTTCTAAAATTGTGCTGATGGGACTATGTAGATAAATGCACAATTGTAAAAAATTACTAATGACACTCACCAAAAAGTACACTTCACATGAACTCACAGTGAGTTATACTTCGATAGTTCTTTTTATTTTTTAAAATGTTTGTTTATTCTTAAGAGAGAGAGACACAGACGCACAGCAAGTGGGGAGGGTCCCAGAGAGAGAGGGAGGCACAGAGCCTGATGCAAGGCTCGAACTCACAAATTGAGATCCTGACCTGAGCCAAAGTCGGCCACTCAACCAACTGAGCCACCCAGGCACCCCTTCAATAGCTATTTTTTAAAACTGCACTTCTGCTTACATCCCAGGATGAGTTTTAGGGACAAAGCCACACTAGTCCCCAGGGAACCTAGGAAATGTCGCCTTTTCAGGGCAACCATGCACTCAACTTCATTTGGGGCTTCTATAACAAGAAAAAAATTTATGTAATAATTTGTATAAAATGTAATAAAGCTAAGTGGAAAAAAAGTCAAATATACAATTCAAATTATGTAAAAAAAAAAATTTAGGGGTGCCTGGCTCAGCGGATAGAGCGTGCAACTTTTGATTCTCAGGGTTTTAGGTTCGAGCCCCTAACATTGGTTACAGAGATTATGTAATAAAATCTTTTTTTAAAAAAATGTTATCACACCCCCATATATAGAAAAATACACTCCAAAATGTAAACAGCAGTAACGTCTACGTGATGAACACCAGACATTTTTGTTCTCTTCATATTCTTCTAGATTTTCATAATATCCTACAACTAACCATATGTATTACACTTAGAATCAGAAAGTTATTAAAATTTTATTGTACTTTTAGGGGCACTTGGGTGGCTCAGTCAGTTAAGCATCCGACTTTGGCTCAGGTCATGATTTCAGTTTGTGAGTTCCAGCCCTGCATGGAGCTCTCTACTGTCAGCATACAGCCTACTTCCGATCCTCTGTCCCCTTCCCTCCTGCCCCTCCCCTGCTCACATGTTCTCACTCACTCTCTCAAAAGTAAATAAATATTAATAAATAAATAAAATTTTACTGTCTTTTTAAAATGACCTTGTCACATATAATTAAATTCAGGCTCTCAATGAAGCTTACGTATTAGTTGGAAGACAAGATACAACTGTGATGCCAGCTACAAAACTAATCCCTTTCCTGCAGTTTTGAAATCCAAAAATCTATAAACTGAAAGGTTTTTTTTGTTTTTGTTGAAATTTGTGGCAAACTCACTGGCAGCAAACCTTGGCCCAAACTGCCTAAGGCTATAAATAAAGTATCTCACTTTGTATAAAAATTTGTCTCACTTAAGAAGAAATACTAGGGTGTTTGATTGCAGATTGCTACCCCACACCCACAGGGAATGTTGCATAATCCACAGTATGTGCATCCAAAAAGAAATCCTGAAACACATTTGTCCCCTGGAGTAGCAGTGTCAAATC